GCCCGGCCGCCCGGCGCCAGGCTGTACCGCTGGCCGAGGGGCGGCTTTGCCCGCTGAGCGGCCGCTGCCCCTGTCACAGGCCCGAATCTGCTCGGGGGCTGCCGCCGAGGTGGGCTTCGTCGGGTCGTCGAACGGATCGGGAAGTGATTTTGGCAAACAGCGCTTCGCTCCCCGGGCGCCTGGGTTTGTGTCACAGGAGCGAGGTGATCCACCCTGCGGCCGCGAAGCGCTGGGAGCTGTGAGAAGAGTAGAAGGAGGAGCGGCTGGGGTGGAGGTGGCGGGCTGCCTCCCCGGCAGCAGCCGGGGCGAGATCGGCTTTAGCTTGTCCCAAGACCTGTGTGGGGTTACGTGCCAGAACCAATTAACCTCATGACACAAATCCAGGGAGATCAGGTTTCCTTAATTCTCTTTCTCACTAAGTTATTTGATTGTCAGGATGGACAACCCTTGGCAATTGTTTGTATCCTGACGATGACATCTTGTCGTCTGTGATACCAGGCACTAGGGGGATTTGGCTATTACTAGACCAGTTGAAAACTGTTACTTCTTGCTTGTGCTGTGCATAGCGTGGTTCAATTTTTGACAGCATTATGACTGAAATTCTGTGTCGTCTGTAACATGCCTGGTGCAGAACATCATCTGGGTCATATAAAAAACTCCAGTGTGATTGTGGGGCTTGTCTGGCTTATCTTCACATGGGACTGGAGTTCAAAGGCATGGTAACTGAAAGGTAATGGGGGACATTCATTAAACTGTGAGGCAGAACTGCCTACCTAAATGACAAAGAATCCATAAGGATGAAGATCGAAAAGCAGTTGTGATCAAGGTACTATAGAGTGAAGGGAACTAGCAGTAATCACAGATCTTAAGCAATTGGGTCACTGAGATTTCAACTAGACAGAAAATTGAATCCCCAGTTATGGTTAGTTCAGCTTAGGAGTTGGACAGGAACAGAAATAGAGAGCTAGACTACTCAAAGAGGAGGTACCACAGTGTATAATACTTTTTTGTCTGACTAGAGAGCCTGGTGAACAGAAAACAATAGGACCATGAAGTTCCTGAACTACAGCTCTCATGAGGCACCGCAGCTGTGTTTCTAAATCACAGCATTTTCTGTGTCCCATCCTCCATCATAAAAGAACACAGAAAAAAACATTTCCAGTGTAAACTACTATTGGAGTAATGTGCAATGTTGATATGTTACATGACTCCCTTGTGGTTAGTCTTTTAGTGATAGTTCATTGTGACAGGTCAGGCAACAGAATGCTGCACTGAATTTTGAAGGGTTTCTGCTGAGAAAGTTTAGAGGCATGAAAATAATATTTAAATGTTTAAAAGCCGATCATATATTTACCCTTTGTTTCCAGGCTAATTTTAAATTCATTGGTTCAATTGTGCTCCTGTGTGAATACTTGTGCCTATACAGAGAATTGTTGAAACAAGCTGCTGATGATGGTGAAAATGGTGATACTGGTTTTTTTTTGTTTGTCCGGGACACTGCTGGCTTAAAGTTAACCTTGTAGCTATGGCTATAGAGCAGAAACCATATCAGGATCCCAGTCATCTTTTCAGCTACTTACATGAAATTCTTTTTACTTCAGTAGGAGGTCTATATGTAGAACTGGACAATTGGATCTTAGATAAGTACAGTGAGCTTTGCTTACATCAAGAGGATTATAAATTTGTCAAATCTGGAGTCAGAAAGGAATTTCTCTCACGAGCATAATGTCAGCAACATAATCAGGGCAAGGGAACAATCTGTTAGAGTACAGAGAAGGAATTATGTTAGGACCAGGTGGGTGTATGCTACACAATTTCTTTCCATTCTAGTGGGCACATATTTTGGGACTGAATTCTTCCCGGGTTTTGTTGTTTCCTCCCTATCCCACCCCCACTGAAGAGCCATTCAGAGGATATTCATGCAAAAATATCACTGAGACTCTATATGTGTGTATAGAGGATTACCATGTACAGTTAACTAACTGGAGAGTAAATTAAGGTCAGTAGGGGATAGATGTATTTCAGAAAATAAAAAAAAAAAAAACCCAACACCTTATTTCTCAGACTCTTGAGAGTGTAATTCCCTTCCTGAGAACATAACAGTAAATGACAATTTTTAAAATTACATAAATAATTCAAGGCATATTGCTGTTAAGAATGGATCTACCTTGGATGATGTTTATTTAAATCCATTCATTTCCATGAAATTCTCCATTCTTATTTCAATACATGTCTTATTGTGTGTAATTTCGCTTTTTCAAAATTAATTATAAGACGAGAGAAGACAGACTAAATAGCAAATGAAGGCATTTGTAAAATCAGCATACAAAAAGAACTGTGATCTGGGTCAGAATGTATCTGTTTCTGGCTGTGTCTCTTTGAACCCAATCTAGGAACAGGTGTCTGTTTTATTACAAGGATTACCATAGAGCTCATTCCCTCTAGGGAAGAGCATGATGAGATTTAGGTGATGTGACTTACCCAGAAAGGAGGGACAACAGCAGGGCAGAAGAAGGAGAAAATATCAAATTATGGAATTATATTTTTATGTGTTTATAATATACTTTGGATTAGTCCTCTGACACCCCACATATGTTTGGTTTGTTTCCTTTTCACCTAGCTTTGAAACATTCCACTTACACAAGAAGACATTAACTTTTCAGACATTAATAGAATACATTTGTACAGAATAAGAAGTTACCTAGCAGCAACCCTGTAAACATGATATTGTCATCTTTCTGAGAATAATTCAAAATTCTTCCTTCAGCAGAAGGATGTTAGAAGCTTTTGCCCTGATTTCTGTATCAGTTCCTTTCAGAACTGCTTTTCCCAGTGTGTGGTAGAATGCTCTCTGAACTGCAGTTTCTCAGAAATCAGGATATGAGCCAACTTCATGCTGCTCTTGCACAGAATGGAACAAATGAGAAATAACACATAAGGCAGAGGAAGGAAAAAAAAAAAAGGTGGTGGAAAAAGGAAAAAGAACAAAATAGTGAAAGGAAATTCCCAATTAAAGGAGAGTTCTCATTAATATGCAAGTCCAGCCTTCTCATCCTCTCGCCTTTCATGGTTGTCTCTTGTTCCTTCAATTCCCACCCCCATTCCGCCTGTCTTTAAGCATGATACACTTGTGTAGGCATACAAACAATGAGTCTGTCCGTCTCTTGTTCACTTAAAGAATTTTCTGACTAATAACGTGCTTTTTTTCCCCCTTCTAGTATGTAAACAAAGCAAAGAGGACAATTCTCAGCTTGGTTTTGAGCAACACAGACAACAAACTTACACATAGGAAGTATTAAGCAACAGTAACTAATAAGATGGGCTTGCTTTTAAAGTCAGGAGGACTGTTGGCTCATCACTGCTTGAGTATAACCAGTTAACATTAATAGGAGCAATGCACATGTTAAACAAGAAAAGTAGGCTTGTTATCTCAGAAGTGTAATGAGAAAAAATAGCAGGAAGCATGAGTTGGGATTTCCAGAAAAAACAGGAGGTCAGAAATTCCTGAATTTAGATGGCTGGCTCATTCACTGATTCACTGTGCTCTTCCTAAAGCAAATTACGTGACTCACCTGACTCATTTTCTTCATCTGTAAATTGTACGGTGTATGCCAGTTGCACACACTTAATATTGGTAGAGAATTCTTGTTTATCAAGTTAATTGGGATTACTAATAAAAGAAGAAGGATATAAAGGACAAAGCAGACCACATTAACGCTAATTTGATGTGAGATTAGAGAGTTGCCTATGCCTAGAAATAGCTGCATCAACCCAGATATGTATTGTAGATAGTCTAAAATAGGGCATGAAATGGCATGCCTTAGATCTGAAATAGGATTAAAACAGACTGTGGCAATATTTCTATGATAATATTTCTTCCAGTGTTGAAGTACCTACATTTTCAGAATGAGTCATTCTATCTTCTCCCATTACTTCCAGCAGGTTTCCAAACACCCCTTCAGTTAATCTTTCTCCAGTTTCTTGGGTTCTTGTCTTAAATTTCTTCATTAGCCCCCTTTTTTGTGGTTTCCAGCTCTTTACCCAGCTTGCCCTTCTCATCTCAACCTCCCTCATCTCCTTGTTCCAATCTATTGCCTTTTTTTTTTTCTCTGTTTAAGTTGGATGATTTCTTCCTTCATGCTGATTAAAGGTCGGCAAGGGAAGAGAGGATCACTGAACAATTAGTGACTGCTCTGTTTCCTCATCAAACACACACAAGCAATTATAGAGAAAGTTCTTCAGCAGTGATGCAGCAGTGGTTTGGACTCATGCCTACTATTTCTCTCTGAATGGCAGCTATGCAGTCTGGTCATGTATGTGAGAGATTTATCTGCTAAGTGAGAGTGGAATATTTTGAGATTTAAGTATTAAACTCACACATGTCTCTATCCAACATGCGCTAAATACTGTTTTACAAAGTCTCATAATTTGGACAAATTTGAGAAGATTTTCCCAGGGATTGCAAAAGCACATCTTTAATATTAAGGCCTCTTTCTATGAAACCTCAGCTTCCTACTTGAAGGTAAGGATTGCCAACCAATGAGATGAGAATCCATTAGAAATTAGATGCGGAGCTTACCCTGTTTCCTTTTCTCTTGTCTTGGACTGCACAAACAATAGTCACAATGAAAACAACAAGGGACAAACTGTAAACTCAAGCTTAATGTAAGAGGAAGATATTGATGAATTTTCTCTTGAAGAATAAAGCCTCTTTCTTCTCCATAACCTCCTCTGTACTTTTACTTGATACAAGATGTTTTCACAGCCTTCAGAAATATCAGACACCAGCTGACTAGTAGGATGATGCCATGTTATGTCAGTAGTGCCCCAGATGTCCTTTTTTCACACATCCTTCAGTGTGACATCGCTACAACGCCCTCGTCAACACCTTTCTGGGAAATTAACAGCCATTACCCTACAGCATCTCAGCAAGGACCGGTGTTCCTTTACAAACTTCGTGGTTACAATGCATTCTGAAATAAATTTCTGTTGGTGGAATGGCCAGTAAAAAAGCACTGGCCAAACTGGTTTGTCTGGGTACAGTTCAAGAATTTCATCTTCACAGCAGAGTAAGCTCATCCTGTTTTGTAGGAAGTAACGAGTTGGTAAACAATGGCTCAGTTACACAGACAACATGCATTCGCAGCTACAGTTATTAGTACACTATTGTTTACCATTAAGGCACAGAACAGTGCCACTTTTGCTTAATTAGTCTTGATTACATACTGGATCCAGGGAGCTACTGTGCTAAAAGGGCATTTCCAAGAAGTATTTCAGGATTCTTTTAATATGATCAAAACAACATTCTTTAAAAAGTATGAATTATTTCATTACTCAGCATGGGATATTTCATCCCATATGATTAAAATTTTACGAAGTTAACAGTAACTGGATCTTACAAAGTGAAATGTCAGACAGCTTCAATAGTCATAGACATTGCCAGCCTGGTTCATAACGTGTGAACTAGCCATTCATTTTTGTTCTATCTGGATATGTCTATACCATATGAATACCATGTAAAACAGCAAAATGAATTTTTTAAAAGCAGAAAATGTTACAGCTAATCATTAAAAAAAAAGCATAACTGGCTTGACTTGTTAGCCAACCAGCAATTCTTTCCAGCCTTCACAAAGAACACTCATAAATAAACTTTGTTACTTTCAAAGAACTGAATAAAGACTGATTATCCACCTCTAGGCCCATGAAATTCCCTGTGCTCCTACTATCAGATGCATGACATCAAATAACAGTGAAAATATTGTAAACAGTCAGCTATGTTCATTCAAAACACAGATAATTAATCCATTGCTGTTTGGCCTTGTGCATAATTTCTTAGAAATTAATTCAGTGGTTTTAATTCTTTGGTTTTGATTTAATCATGTTTTACACCCACTTTGCTAATCATTGTAGTAACACAAATGGCTTTGGTAGGAAATATTCACAGAATCACAGAATCAGCTAGGCTGGAAAGGACCTTGAAGATCATCCAGTCCAACCATCAACTCAATATTAACAGTTCCCAGCTACACCAGATCCCTCAGTGCTATGTTGACCCAACTCTTAAACACCTCCAGGGATTGGGGACTCCACCACCTCCCTGGGCAGCCCATTCCAACACCTGACAACCCGTTCTCTAAGGAAATACTTCCTAATATCCAGTCTAAATCTTCCCTGGTGCATCTTGAGACCATTCCTTCTTGTCCTATCGCTTATTACTTGGTGAAAGGACCCATCCCCAGCTCTCTGCACCCTCCTTTCAGGTAGCTGTAGAGGGCGATGGTGTCTCCCCTCAGCCTCCTCTTCTCCAGACTAAACAACCCCAACTAAACAGTTCCCTCAGCAGCTCCTCGTAGGACATGTGCTCCATGCTTTTGCCTTCAGAGCTGCAAAATATAATAAATATTAAGAATGTAAATATTGTCACCAAAGACTACGCCTTCATTGCAGTATTTACTGAAGCCAGGCCTTTAAAATTGCTAACACTGTAAAACCGCATTCACACAATATGTCCATCTATTTACAGTAACTTCTAAGTATCAAGATTTTTACCCACCTTTCAGAGCACTTGGTCCTTTACTAGCTGGTCTGCCCTGATGCAGAGAGGGATTAAGCACAAAACTAAAGGTTTACAGCTATTTCAGTTCCTACTCAGGTAGAAATCCAATGTAGGACAATGATTTCTTCTTTGTCCAGATACCTGACTTTAACCTGTTTTGAAAATAAGGGCTTTTATTCCCTTCAAATGCTAGTTACAATAGGCATGTAAATCCATTTCCTAAAACCTTCTCTGTCCTAATTTATGTATTATTCTTTAAGTAAGAACACAGTTGCAGAAAAAGCAGAATGGCAAGAACCAATTGCAAAATGGTAATAGAATGCACATCCAATTAGTTGATGGTAGGATACGTCCAAATCTATTAGTTTGCCAATATGCTTGGTGCTATTTGCATTCAATGGAACAATATGCTGTACCATTTCCGAATGCGCTGTACGTTTTCTATGGGGACAGAAGCAAGAAATTATACCATGAACTCAATATACAACTAGATCCAGCACATACACTCACAGCATGCCTCTTAGCACTGAAAATCCAGGAGAACAGTGTGTACTTTTTCTGTCTCTTCATTTGAATTGTAGTTGAAAACCATTGGAAATGTGATGCTGTTGAGGGTTTTGTCCACATACCAATTTATCCAACATTGTTCTGGTTATAGGATCTTTGTCTGCCCTGTTCAAAACTTTGAATAAGGCTCCCAGTCTCTTCTTTCTTTCTTTCCCCAAAATAATACATAGTTCAAGATCAAGTGTTCTGTTACAGACCAAGTACCATATGAAGTAGTACTGGGAATGTACCTGTAAATAAGAACAATATGCAAAAATCTTATTTGCAGTGAAATTAACAATAATCTCAGTTGTAATGGAAATCTGCATTGCTAGCATACTGTTCTCCTTTTCTCTAGAGCCAGCCTGGACTTCATGTAAAAGAAGTACATCTGTCCAGGTGATCTTCCATTTCAGTAGTTTATAGTTTGCTATTAGCCTTTAAAATCTGGAATTGCTTAGACAGCTGAAGAACCAGATGATGTGAAATATGTTTTCCCTGTATATCACTTACATCCTGGTAAAGATGTGGGGGCTGCAGCTTATTGGACATGAGGGGAAAGAGCAACTCAAGAAACTGTACTTGGTTTTGTAATTTGTGTATTCTAACTTTCCAGTTGTTCTCTAAATTATTGTCAATCACTTCTTCCTTCTTCCCAGCTCCTTTTTGAGTAGAACTCGAGATGCACATTAGGTCTGTGTCTAAGGCTTACTTGCAGGAGGTTATCCTTGAATCTTTGTTGTTTTCGTTTTGTTTTTGTTGGGGTTTTAAAATTTTTGCTGGATCAGGGTTGTTTTCACCAAATATGCATCTGATTTTGCTCACAGAGAGAAGAAAAGGAAAAAAAAGTATCACCCCGTAACACTTTGTATCATACTAAGCCTTAAATTAATATTTTATGTGCTTACTGTGCTTTCATGTCATCTCTCTTTTCTGTTTAGAAACAGTTATATCCCATGCTGCCAGTCTACAGAGCCTGTAGTATTTCATATTAATGCACTTACACAGAAATTGTGATGGTTAGGAGGCCCTCGCTGAGGGACTGGGACTCTCAGATAAAAGGGATGTTTACCAGTTATGGTTTCAAACAGCGGTTCCCTGAGAATACATTAATCAGTTGGAGGTCCCAGATTGGAATTTTTCCTGGCATTTGGAAGAAGACTATTATAATCTGGTGACCAATTAGCAAACCACTGGATGGAGAGAGCCAGTAGCTGTAGAGCAGAATCAGGAAGTTAGCGCTCTCCAGCAATTGCACTGACCACTGTGATTTTCTCATGTTTCAATCATTTGTAAGACTCATCAAGCAGGAACAGGGAAATTATACAGTTGAACATTAAAAGGATACTGAATTAGGATGCCAAGGCTAGCTAAAAATAAATCTGATTCTTATCTTTTGGCTGGAAATTGTGAACTAAAAGTGACAGGAGACCAAACACTGCAAGCACAAAATTAATGTAAGTGGGACTTAACCATGCACACTCTTTGGAACAGTGCTAGTACCTGTATAACACTCACAGAATTCAGTAGGTATAGTTAAAAAGATAGCCACTTGGTTCTTGTTAAGCCTCTAATCCCAGTTTTGAATAAATTTAATAGTTACCAATTAAACCATGGCTAGAGTAAATTGTTAATTGCATAGGTAAATTTTCCTCAGTTAGAATTTGTATTGGAACATATGTGCACATACCCACTAGAATATGGGGCCCAAGGGGGAAAAGGAGACAGGGGAGTGATGCAACTTCTGTCCCTGATGAAAGGAAGGGTCACACTATGCTGTCCCCTACCCTAATACCTGCATAGGTTATACTGTAGTGATTCTTTAATTCTATCCATAACAAAGAACAGACCTTTTACGTGGTGGCTCTGTCATCAGTTCTGTTTCTACGTGAGCCTGTCCTTTAAAAATCCATGGTCTCTGTCTATTTGATTGTTTTTGAGGTCTGCTCCATATCTAGATTACCAGTTCACTACCTCTCTGAAGGAATTTCCTACAGTACAGCCCTTTTTGCCCCAATCTAAAATCTGAGAAACTGTTCTGCCTCAAAAGCTGGCCATTGTGAATATGCCAGTAGATTTTTCTTTTTCTGGCATTGAATTACTCCCTGCTTGATCCTTTCCTCCTTAAACTTACAAAAAGTAATCATCTGTAAGAGTGTGCCATGCAGAATTATTTTCTTTGCTGTGGTCACCCCAGAGGACCACTTGGAGGTTGTACAAATCTCCAGCCAGCTCACAACATGCTGCAACACAACATGCTGGAACACAACATGCTGGAACACAGCTGTCCCAGAGAGTCTCTTTTTGCATTGCTTGAATGAAATAGCTGTACAGAAATGAAGAAAGTCATGTGAAAACCGGGACTTAAACTACTGTGTGGTCCTTCGTACTCCAGAGGTAAATGGAAAATGAATAAGTAGACAGACAAAAAGAGAAGTTATATTGAACTGTGCAGGCCCCCAGAATAATACCAGAGTGCACATGCCATAATGCATATTCACATAGCAAAATAGGTAGGATGGATACCAAGTAAGCAGAACATGACTAATTTATCCCCTTAGCTATGCAGATAAGCCTAAACTCAGAAGACTTAAAGAAGAAGGTCAGTGT